CTTGAATTTCCAGGCTTTTGCGTGACGCGGCATTTAGCTGGCGGCCGGGAAAGCTCCTATGTGGGTTAAAAACATTACCGATTTTGGGAGATTTTGCAATCTAAACATTCCTTGTCTCAGAAGAAATATTACTGTAATCTTTATGAGTTCCTCAAGCGAAGAATTCACGCATTAGTAGGAAAATTCGAAAACAGATGTTTCTGTTGGTATGCGGCGGCCATATTGGTGTTCCTCAAAGGGATACCAAGATGGCGATTCCATACAAAGCTTTATAAATTTAGGTAAACCGTTTTTTCCAATATCTCGCATTTGAAATATTTCACAGACCTGATTCTTGGCAAGGGTTTTTGTATAGTTATCTTTTTTCATTTCCCAGATTCTAGTCCTTCTGTATTGAATGGTTTGCATTTTTATTTTTCATTGCGTGACACTGCAAGCCGAGAATTCTCCCTAGTAGACTGTGTACTTGAGTTATGATATTTGTTTCCTAGGCATTCCAGCATTGATCTCTTGTGGTTTTTGTCTCTGAAAGAATTTGACCTCTGAAGCAGTTCAGGGATTTTTTTTACCTCTTTTGAAGCGTAAAGCCTTTTCTTGTGGCTAAATGACCGTTTAATAGAGGTTTTAGCTTCTAAAATTTGGAATAACTGCTGAATACCCTGCCTGGATCCTGAATAAATTGCAAAGTGTAGTTGTTTTGTCCGTGACTTGATTGTTGCGCTTGGCCTGGCTCGTTTGCAGGTCCGATCAGTATCGTATTACTCCACTCTTCCTGACTGGGTAATCAAACGGTTCCAACCAAGCTGACAAAAGGGGGCGGCATTCAAAACTCATAAGAAATGTGGCAGGCGGGATTTTCCCTTGCGGCTTCGCCGCTCGCTTCGCGTGGGGCGTGGCAGCTCCGCCGCCAAGAAAGCACTCCGGGCACAAGAATCCCGCCAGCTACGCAGACTAAGCGAGATCTTGTCTCTTCTCTGACCATCACTACGATATCATGGGGAAATAGACCAATTTCGATACATTTAAATTCATACTTGGCTGCGAGGCTTGGGGGAATAACGCAAAAGAAATTATCTTGAGGCTCAGCAGTCAATAACACATTTCTTTTGTTTTATTCCCTTATGCCTGGGGGTCAAGTATGAGCTATTCTTCATACACTGATGGTTGTTTTTCAGATTCTGCTAAAATATTCGTACTTAGTTACTACTGTTGTCATTACTATTAACTGTCAGTGCTGCGTCGTGAAAACAAAAACAAATGATTTTATCACTTGAACTGTTTAAAGTCAATTTACCACTGGCCGTAGGCGCTATCCCTTTGTCATCACAGTCGGTAATCAATTCGTGGCACTAACGAAGAGATAGTTCGAAAGTTCAGCCGTTGAATAGCAAGGATAAAATCAAATTTTCGTGATTCTAAGTCTCTTGTGCGAGCAGTCACAACGGCCAGAGGTCAGGGTATGGCTGCACACTTCATTTCTAATGCATTTTATGCCAGCGTGCCTACCCCTACTCATTAGCTCATTTTCTCTTGAGAGAATATAACCTTTCAGGGACGGACCATCAGAAAACTTATAAGGGGAGGGGGCGAGAGGCTTTAAAGTACAAAAAATATTATTGCAAGGGAAAATTACATGAAAAAAAAATCATGCTCGCCAAGTAACCGGCCTAAAAAATCTTCATGCACTGGCCTAAAAAATTCATTCGTCTCGAAAATTCCCCACTCCCACCCAATAACATTTCTCAAGGGAAGGGTAGGATTTCCATGCGCTATGAAGACGCTATATAACAAGCGGCAAGGTTCTTCATCAAGGTTTAATTAAGCCGTAACTAGAACGTTCACTGTATTTTTATTCATCGTTTTCATTTCTCAAGTTACCTTAAATTTTCCTTCCTTTCACATTCTATGAACAATAACTTCAATTATTTGCTTTAAACTATGTACATAGTCAATTTACGGCAATCCAGTTAGTTAGACTGGTACCGTATTAATTAATTTCTTTCTTTCAGCAATGTTAGAATTAGGCTACGAGTAGTACCCATTTTTCCTCAGAGATAGTAAAGCGAGCGAAACGCGAACGCACGTGAAAATCAATCCACGCGAGAAAGGCGAGACACAGCTCTCGCCTTTCTCGCCTGGGTTGATTTTCACGCGCGCTCGAGTTTCGCTCGCTTTACTATCCCTGAGGAAAAATAGGGACTACTCTTAGTCTATGTTAGTATATTAATCATTTTCCCGGCGCATCACAGCCAATAAACTTAATGGGCTGAATCTTTCCCCGGACAAAGAATTGATGTACTGAAAAGTAATGTACTCTTGGAAAACTCTCAGAAAACGAATGCGTCTTATTATAATTATACTAAAAAAAAAAAAGAATTTACATGTAAGCAATGACTGTAAGATTTAAAAGTGGGTAATTATTAACGTTATTCTCCCAATACGCCTCTAACAAATTAGAGAATAAATAATCCAGTTGTTGCTGTAGTTATATGTACAATGGTGTTCTTTCTTCTGTCACATTTTCCTGCTTTGCATAAATGTGAATTACCAAATCAGTCGTCGCTATCATATAAAAACTCGCCCCAATCTTCAATTTCTGGGGGAGGAGTTTCGGAGATGGGCGGTTTTGGCGTTTCTTCTTCGTCATCGCTCGATGAATTATCTTCCTCCTTTCCCGCCGCCTTCTCTTGGTCGATTTTTCTCTTGATAGCTTCTAGTCTTAATTTAAGCGACAAATAATCAAAGACTCCAGAGTTATTCTCAAATGGATCCTATAAAAACAAATTGACGGCATCATAAATTAAATCATCTTTATCCTCAACCCAACCTCGTTCCCAGGGTTTTCTCCTACCCTGGGAACGAGGTTGGATTCAACCCTTTTCTTAATCTCTGTGACTTCTTACCTATGATTCAAACTATTATTCACCAGAGAAATTAATGTTTTTTCTTAATTTGCTTTTAGAAATATCAATGCACTTACAAAATTTGGCGACGCCACCACTGGTTTCCCCGCGAAATGACGTCTGAGGAACGAGCGCAGAAATTCCATACTGATGACGCGTTATTACCCAGATCTGGGTAGAGCCACTGATTGGCTGAAAATTTTCTTCAGCCAGTCAGAAGCGCTACCCCGATATGTTGGTAGTGATACGTCATATGCGCTCGTTTCTCAGACGTCATTTCGCGAGGAAACCAGTGGTGGCGTCGCAACATGTCGGCTGTTTTCTCAGGCTAAAACTTAAACTGCATATGATTTTTGTAAAAAAAAACAAAAAACAAAAACAAAAACAAACTCCTGAATCCCAGTGTGTTCGAACAACCGACTGTCGTGACTGATGCATAACGTATTATCGGAGTCCAAGAAATAAAGGTATTAGAAATTAACAAGACTTAAATTTACGCGAATTTAATGGCAAACGACTTTTATAAGTAGAATACTAACGCAAAAGGGAGGGTAACATTTCAAAATGAAGGACGTACAAAGGAAGTACAAACTTCTTGCTCAATAGACAACAGGAATAAAGGTAAAAGATATCATCCGAAATGGAAACTTTGTTTGTGCTATATCCTAAACGTACGAAGAGGGTCAAGCGAACAAATCTGATCACTGCGAGGGTTCTTCACAGTTTCAATGATACACTGTGCTAGTCTAGAGGATCTTTCCACAGTTAAAATATTCCTCTTTCTTCGGTGTCAAAAACAACAAAAGATTATCGAGAATTTCGGACCAACATAATGGAAATTAAAGTCGCGGAAATTAACGCTACACTTAATTAAGGGCGCGGAAATCAACGTTTACAAAAAACTAAAGCGACTTAATTTAGCTCGAATTTTGGAAATTTGCGTTAATTTAATGAAGCGTGATCATTTCATTTTATAAGGTATGCTGATTTTCTTACCTTCATTTTCTTGCCATTTAAATGCGTCTTCTCGTAAATGATTTTACAGTAACTGTCGTAAAACTTGGGGAATAATTTCTTAATTTTCGTCCTGCAATAAAAATGAGGAAGTTAATGCAGTTTTCACAAAAGACGCAATCTACATGTATTCAACCAGTCTAGAAACTTCGAGAGGAAAATGAATGACATTACATGTAAGTTATGGAAGTCTCCTCGACAAAACTCTCTCAAAATTCCGATAAACTTTGAATGAGATTCACTTTAAAACAAAATATCCCAAAATGGAACGACAAACAAACAACAAAACAAAACAAAACAAAACAAACAAACAAAGGATTATCCTCCCTTTCCAAGCTGGTAAAAATATATTTGTACCAAATTTGCTTAGAGCAAAAAAGATGCAGAGAAGTGCAAACTACGAGTCAATTAAAATGTACATTGGCAGGCAAATGTGGCTTGCATATTCCATCTCTGCCCCTGGTCACACTCCTAGTTTGCGCATCTTTGCATCATATTTGCCCTAACCAAATTTGGTGCAAATCTTTTTCGTTTAATGCCAGATATTTTAGAACACACATTTACGCGAAAAAGACATTTCTAAGGTTATGGAACTGCCAAATTCTGAATCTGGATTCTTTTTGTTCAATGGAGTTTACCTGTTCCAGACTCCGAGAAAGTGACCGTGATAACTGCCCCCCTTTACCAGAGCAAGCAAGTCTTATTTTTGCTAGGCTGGTTTTCGTGACGTCCAAAGCTATCTAAAAACACTATCTGAGAGCCCGAAAAAGGCTGCAATGGAGTGCACTCAAATACCACTTTCTTTATTTTATTAACACACCAACCAATGCACTGCCAGCTACAATGCTGGTCAACATCTTTCCTGTAGTCCAGGACTAGTGGAGTTTCTTGCTGGGCTCACTTGCCCAATGGACAAAAGACCAAGCAAGCCATCCTCTAACAAATCATTAACTATAAGACAAGTACATTTAAGTGGCCCCAGGCAAGCAAATGTGAGAGCCACTTGCCCAAAGAACAAGCTGGTAATTCACTTTTTTTTTCGAGTCCTGAGAGTGTCTCTAAATTATTACCAGGAACCGGTTATTACAGTACATATATCAACATTCCAACACACCTGAGGACTGGAGGACATTTTTGTGCACCTTCTAACATATCGCAGACTCCAACTCGGAGAGTTTCATGCTGAATTACCTCATTATATTTGCTGGAGTCACCTTTGCTTGTTTCCTAATAAAAGAAGAAACAGTTATTGTCTAAAACCTATTGAGTCATAGACGCCAACATCTGATTTATGATTGGTTCCTAGTATCACCAGCTGTCAACTCATAGTACCTTTAACCTTTTCATATACATTGTAGTCAATTGGTCCATCATCCTGCAACACACATACAGAGACACAAAGCCACACAAGCCACAACTGAGATACAAAGACACATAATTATACACTCAGACTATAACATGTAATACAGATCTAATAACAGCCATAATATAAACACAGGGAACCCGAATGCTGTAAAAGCTAATAAAAATAATGATTAGATGCATTTAAGCCGTATTAGCTAATAAAAAAGATGTATTTCTGTGTCTTTATGAGTCGTTGTGGAAGGGATTTGAATCCGACCAGAGACGGTTAACATTGCTGGTATAAAATGTTTGTTTGTCTGGCACATCAGACGTGACAGTTCTGTCTCATGTTAATTATTAACTCTCCTTGGGAGACGATCTCTGGTTTCAATCTAATATATTGGAAACTTGAGATGTAACTGTCGCGTCCTATTTACAAAATGCCAGAGAAACAACCATTTGATAACAGCAATGTTGGCCGTCTCTAATCAGATTCAAATCCCTTTCAAAACGACCCATAAAGACAGAGGAATACAGGTAAATACATCTTATCATTCTATTAGCTAATACAGTGTTCGGGTTGCCTGTGTTATATACAATGGTACAACGGTGATACACTTTGAGAGCCGTCTTTTAAATTTGCTGTCATGTAAAGGGTCCTTTACTGTCCCAGGTGGTCAATTTTATATTTGCCAGTTCAGGCTATCTGGCTAACTCTCCCTTAAGCCCTGTGTAGACTTCAGGGCTGTCACTTAGAGCCAGGGGGTAGGTATTTTCTCTGGCTACTATGAGCATGACCCCACCCCGAACTACCAGTACCAGGGCTTCTGATAATTCGCGGAAAAAAAAGTCAAATTTCGCGGGATGTTTGGTGACAAAATCGCGCAAAAATCGGCCGATTTCGCGGGAATTTCGCGGGAATTTTCAGGACAAACTTGGCCGGAAAGCAATCGGTAAAAAAACGGTGGATTTTGTGGTTATTTTCAGGGCAAATTTCGCAACATATCGATCGGTTTTGCGCTGATCAGACCAGCGTTTTTAATGTTTTCTAACATAGGACATCATTTGCTCTTTCAACAACAATATGCTCTAGAAATGAACCAACGGCAAAGACTTTAACATCATGGCTGGTGCCCAGTTTTTCGCAACATAATCTACGCCTGGTAGTTTCGGGACATTGTTTTCACGTTTCAGTGACGAAGTTTTGACATAAATTTGCGAGTTTACGGCAAGTAAATACCGCCAGTAGCTGAGACAAGTTTCAAAATTGCTGTACAGACATGTACATGACATGTATTTGATACGATTTCTACCGAATTTAGTGGTATTTTGCGTGTTTTTGTGTATTTCGCGGATTTACCTGAATTTCGCGGCTCCGCGACCGCGCGAAATATCAGAAGCCCTGCAGTACTTCATAAGAAACAGTGTAAAAGGAAGATAAAAGCAAAAGAAGTTCCTACATATTGTTCTTTTATTCTCTGCCTAAAGTCTAATTTCCTTACACCCAGTAACTTGAAATTGTAGTGACAGCCCTGAGTCTTGATCAAAATGATAATTTTATTACATACATGTACTAACCCTTTTTTCATATCCAGGTTCATTGTGATATGGATTCTCATTCATAAGAGACTGGATTGAAATTAGAAGACTTGACAGAGTCTGAGCAGGACTCCAGGCTGGGCCATGCCAAGTTCTGTTAAAGGAACAAAAAAATAGTACACGTACATTCTTCAGGTGCCCATACCAAGAAAAGTCTGAAACATGTTAACACTATTTTCGGCCCATTATGTACATCACAGTGTCTGATGGAAAATTTTGCAGCTGGTTGAAGGGTATGAAGACCTCACTCATACTAAGTAAAAAATAATAAGCACAATTAAAACTATAAGTGGTAGAGGTAAATTAAACCAGTTGGCTATTCACATTATGTCCAAGCATGGACAGTGTGTTGAACTCTCAACACCTGTGAAACAAATCTAAAAGGCAATAGGTAAGGGACTTAAATCCTAGACCTCCACAGATATTCATTTTTCCCCTTTGTCACTTTAATCTTTTTCAATAAACTCAGCAGCCAGGCCTACTGATTTAAGGTATTTCTGTTGATTTTGCAATTTAGTGAAATTAAGGGTGAAATTACAACAAAAATGGACTTGAATATTGTCTCTTTCACAATGGCTGTCAACAACCATCGGTACAAACTGGAAAATAATAATTATTGACCATCCAGATAGGATTGGTTGAATTAAAAAGACATCCCCAGCATTAATTTTACTAACCTTTTTTGTTTCACGTCAATTTTCAGGTTTTTTAGCTTAGAAAGGTTCCAAAACTTAATCGCACCACCACATCAAAGAAAGCCTTATAATTTCCATCTGCTGATTGAAATCTATTCTAGGGATCTATGCTGCCGGCTCAATTCGAACAGGCAATAATCTGACAAGCAAAAATCAACAATAGAAAACGTATGCATCCAGCCATCTGTGTGGCAGAGAAGCATTGGTTTATTTTCTGAATGCAGTGGCTGGTAATTGAGTCTAGTACTTGTACATGTATGTGACCTTCTTTGTGTGAAGTTTTGAATTTGATTCTCACCCTCTTACCCACAAAAAATATTGGCCCTGTGGTTAATTTACATTTTTACGTGTACCTTTTTACACAAATGGTCTGTTGGCTACTTACCCTAAAATGCTAAGGCAAACCGTGCCATTTGCATAAAGATTGGGGTTGAACCTGACCCTACCCCCACCAGTAGTCATTAGTTTGACCTTTGGAGGTTTTATTGGGTAATCAGGGGTAAAAAAGATCAGAAAGTAAAAGAATCCACCCTCATATGGTGTGCCACGTGGTCCAACAACTAGTGCATGAACCTAAAAGACAAAAGAATAAATCACGAGGTTCTTATTACGATTTGTCATGTAAAGCTCACTAAAAAAAGTCTAGGTGAGAAAAAAAAATGAAAAGAGAGACTTGCCTTAAAGCCAGCAAAGGAGCAGGAGGTGTGCTGATCCTCACTAACATTTGTTTGGAAGGTACTTAAAATGACTACAGTATGAATAACAGTCAAGGACAGTGTAGGAATTATCATTACCATATTTCCTTGAATGATAGCCATCACTTGATTTATCGCCTCCCTCAAATAATCCCCCCAAACCCTTATCGCCATCTTCTCTTTCATTTATCCCCTTCACTTATTTTTATTTGATAACAAACCTTTGTAATGTCATCTTCATCAGCAGCAATATGAAGCCCTGGTGGGGGTTCCTTGTACATGTTTGTAATATCCCTTTGCAAATCAACAGAAAAAAATTATAAATGAGAGAAAGCAAAAATAACACTGCATTTGATTACAAATTTGATTAATATGAAGATAACTTTCAAAGTTACAAAATGTGATCTTCCAAGGGAAAATGTACACTAATGGCTTTCCATTAAGCAGATAAAACGCATGGCTTCTGAACGGGTTGCAAATGGCTCACCCATTCGAATGGGTTCTTCAAACGGCTGAACAAGTTATGAAGTATTCCCAATGGCTAGCATAAACAGTTGAATGGCTTACTCACCCGTTTGAACGGGTTGACATAAATGGGTGAATGGATTTCCAATCAATTGTGAATGGCTCATGAAGAACCATGGTGTCATGTTATCATTCTGAAGGAATGGACAATTAATCTGGTCTAATTTAGGTTATGATAAAAACTGTTCTAATGTATTAACAAAACGAGAAAGCAGTTAAATTTTGATAAACAGCACTTTGTACTACATTCTACTGAAGCAAAACACGAATTTAAAGGAAAGTTGCCATTTGTTTATCTTTACTGTGTTGTGCCTGACATCCGCTTCACTTACCGGTATTATTTGAAGTTGCACAACAACATGGCAGCTTTGAATTTTGCCTGTTTTCTTTTGACAGCAACTTCAATGCAGTAAGAAAATTCTTCCATGCACGATTCTATTTCTAGTTGCAATTCTCAGATAACAGTACATCTTACCAAATTTGCATAAAGCAAACCTGAGTGACAACAAGCGTTTGTACGCATTGCGCGCGCTTAAAAAAAGTGGCTGTAGCATTGTAAGATCTGTACTTGAATATGCCTGCCCTGTTTGGGCAGCCCTGCCAAAGTATTTAGATGATGTTATAGAATCTGTAGAAAAAAGGGCCCTATGCATCGTTTTGCTGAACTGTCACTATGACGATGCCCTAATTCAATGTGGCATCACTGCCCTTTCCCTGAGAAGGGAGGAAGCTTGCATTAATTTTATCAAGCGTGACTGCCTGTTGTCTCTAGTACTCAAGCCATTAATTCCTTGTGTGTCAATTGACAGGCCATACTGCCTCCATTCAGGCGAATGTGTTCCGGTGCGCCTTGTCCCCAAGACAAAGCGATTCGCAGATTTCTGCACCGTTAAGTTTCAAGACCAGTTGTAATCTTGTGCTTGTTATTTTTTCTATGTTATGTAGTGCTTTCAATCATATTTACATAATTATCTATTTGATTGTTTTTGTATTGTATTGTCTTCAGCCTTTAGGCTGCGAGAGGGATATCAATAAACTATTATTAGTATTATTATTAGGTAACACAATACTATCCACTTGAATGAGAAGAGAGCGAATGACACACGGGCTTCTTTAATTGATTCTCTGTATTTTTTACATGTATGTAGAACAAGTCGTTGGCAAAAAATATTTCATTTGTAATTTAAAAATGCAGAGAGCAAAAGTGTTCAGGTTTCTTTTGAAATCTTTTGCTTACATACAGGATGTTCTACTTGTTCTACTTGTATCCTAGATATCATGTAGGATATCTTTAGCTTAGATTTTTTGTCTGATAAGGGATCGTTGATGCAGAAAAGCTCACAGTCTGCTATATCTGAAAAAAAAAATCCACTCCATGATTGCTTGTGTTTGCACGTTATTTCAGTAAGGGCAAATTAAGAGTTTAAAGCCGATAAACTTGTGCAAATAAAGTCGAACAAATCTTGAAAACATTGAATTAAATGACCGCTCAAACAAGTGAAATTTTTAATAGTGCCTATTAACATGCATCGGCCAGGAAATCGGACTGTCCCACGACTATTTGCGAGCTGACAAAGGATTCTGTTACATGTATATGCAGCTTCCTGTGACTCGACCTCTGAGTAAAGTGTTTCGGTTTTGATAGTCACAAATGCGAGCACTATTAACAACATGATTGTAGGAAATGAAAGTTACAACAAAATAATAATTATTATCATATATATTCGTCACATGTGTTGAAATTTCACACATTACAATCCCCCCGATATCATATTGATCCAAGTATTGACCCATTTGTAAAAACGCGAATCTCAACATTGGGAACATCACAGGGAAAAAGAGAAAGCGTGACATGAGAAATCCTCATATCTAGGGTTTCGACGAAAGTTGGGTATAATATACCCAAGAGAGAATCAGGCTACATCTACTGCTGCAGTAGATGTAGCCTGATTCTCAGACGTCCGAGGTCGTTCGCGGTCCCTTCGCTTTCCTCCGTCTCTCGACGGGAGAGGGAGGGAAGCGAAGGGACCGCGAACGACCTTGGACGTTTAAGAATGATGACCTTTACAAAGACTTTCGCCACATAACGTGAAACATTATCATGCACGTTACCTCTGGATTCTAAAAATACAAAGTGCTGAAAACATTTCCTTCGGATACGATGCACGAAAACACGGAGTTGCTGGAGCTTTCGATGTCACCACAGAGGATGCTTCTGCCGCCATCTTGTGTATTAATGACGTCATTATCTAACGGCTTCCTTGTTTCCAGTTTTCTGTCACCTGAGAGGAAGGAGAGTACCCTGGGTGACAGAGACTTCCGGTTTCTGTCAAGTCTTAAACAGCCGTCTTTACAGTGACCCGCGCGAAAAGCCTTTTTCTAAGGATAATGTGGGTCTTTGGACATTTCTTCACGTGCCAGCCCACATCAACACAGTTGGAGACTTTCAAACTGATTGGCGTAAATGTAACCCGATAAAAAGCTCAAAGGTCAACGGGAACGGTAAAAAGCACCGCTCCGTGCCAGAGGTCAGGGTCCCAAAGGGGGGGTCCCTGGAGCCCTAGAGCCCTGAAATTTCTGATATGGAGCCCGGAGCCCTATCATTTTACTGACTGGAGCCCTGGGCCGAGTTGTTCAAAGCTGGGTTAAGATAACCCAGGGTTAATGCGAGATTTGAATCCAGATTTGAAAGCTTAAAAAGCATTTCAGTTTTATTTTTTTTGTCTACAAGTTGATGATTGGAAGCTCTAAAAATAACAGACAGAATTATCCCAGAAAATGCTTTTGAACACAAGAAAAGGAAACCCGGGTTAAATTTAACCTCGGGTTAAGCCTGAAGCCCAGCATTTTCAACTTTGATCATTCGAGTTCCCAGATTGCATTGATTCTTGATTACTGCCTTTTGGTGTCTGTTTGTGCGTGTTAACGGGCATAAAGAAACAGAATCTGAAGAGAAGACAGTACATAATACAAGTATACACGGTTATCTCAGTTTATAATGATATGCAACAACTTATTTAGGGATTTAATGAAAACTTTGTTATAATTGTAGTGAGCGCGATAAAAACTACTTTATAGTAACCGGACGTTCCTTTAGCAGTTTGCTCGCAGGTATCAGTTACAACAAATTAAAAAAAAAACTTGCCAGATCATTTTGAAGATACAAATAATAATTGATGAAGATCGATGTCACATGAAAGATGTCAAGGTCAGTCAGGTCAGTGCAAGGTGAGACATCAGAGATTTTTGAGTTTGTCCCATGGAGCATAGAAATCTGATCCGCTCCATGACGTTAGTGTCAACCTTGTACAATGCACTATTGAAGTTTAATATTTAATCCACTTTTAAATAATAGGACATAATATAACCGGTTGCTTGGGTTTAAAAAATTGATCGGAATTGCTGACTTTTTTATTTGCGTATTTGATTTATGCACCTATCAATGGTTTGCCCCAGGATGGGGGGGCCGGGTAACCCACGGGAAATTTGACATTTTCAGGTTTTCAAATGTCAATTTCCCCACCCTTGGGTCTCCATTGTAAGTCAAATTCCCACCCCTGGGGACCACAGACCTTCATAGTAAGTTAAACGAAATGATAGGCACTTACAACAAGTTTATTGCAGCACTCCTCCAGACAGTAACAGTACTTGTTGGCAAATGGTCCCCACCACGTTTGTGCATTTTCCTAAATGAAGAAGGCATATTCTAGGTATTTAGCATGGTTCAGTTTTGGTTAGCAATTTCACACACATTCTGTACTGCTGGAAATACCTGTGAATTGTTTCACATAGTATTTATAGCAACACAAAATGTGCAATGCCAGAACATGTCATCATCAAGAGGGGTTAATGCACAAACTTGGCGGTACCAATTATCACAGGTATCACCTGGAATAGGTCGTATTCGGCTTTCATCCAACTGATGTTTGTAACTGAGGTCCACAATTGACCAGAATTTCGTTTAATTTAACATTTGGAGATACTAGCAAATCTATAAACACAGAGAGTATCGAAAACTTGAGGCAGGGCGGCATCCTCTGAAGACAGGTAAGTAGGAAGTAAATTTTGATCTAAATGAGCTCTTGTGCAAATATTTCTTCTCAAAGCTGAAGGAAAAATACCTTATGTTATTAGAACTTAAAAGACAGAGCACTGATGGGCATAAAAAACAACATTTTTGCTTTAAAAAAAGCAGCACGATACTCCTTACCTTTTGTTCAGCCATCCTTGGACGAGGGGAAACTTGCTCAAATGACTTCTGGGTATTTTCCAAGATGACGGACCACTCACTCATTCCCAGGTCCTCTCCACTTTTCAAGATGGCGGTTGAGTCAAATTTCCCACCCTGGGACCATTGTGGATGTCAAAATCCCCACCCATGTGCGCTTTACGAAGTCTAATTCCCGTGGGTTGCCCGCCCCCCCCATCCTGGGGCAAACCATTGATAAGTGCATTAGCGTTAAAAATAGAATTTTTACATATCAAGATTGTAGACCAGAGTGGAGCCCGGAGCCCTAAAGCAGATGATGTGGAGCCCTAGAGCCCTGAAACTTTCATCTTGGAGCCCTGGAGCCCTGCATTTTTAAGGCCGGAGCCCTGGAGCCCTAAACCCCTTTGGGACCCTGAGAGGTTTTTCTCGCGGCTTCGGCCGTCGGCCAACACCAAAAATTCCCGCCACACGCGAGAAAAACCTAAAGGAGAGTGGCCCTGGGAACAAGCTCTTTAATAAATTCCATCCCCACCGTATTGCTCAGTCTCGCGAGTTCACAGAACCTCCCTCGTCAAGTCGTGTACTCCTTACTGTGAACAAGTTTTGTGTTCCCTCGGTGGAGCATTTGTCCTCAAAGGTCTGCCTGGGATTGGGGAATTTGTCATTCACCATTTTTACATAGGCCATAATGCACTTTGTTCGCGCCGCACGCGAGAAAAACCTCTGGTACCCAGGGTAGTTATACCCAGGAGCCATTGGAAATAATTGTTATGCAAAATTTTGAGGGGGTAAACAAGGTGCACTATGGTCTATGTGAAAATGGCGAATTGCATAATTTCGTATTTTCTTTGTGCTGATTAGCCTGAATTTCACACATGGCTTCGAGTCGCTTACTGAGGGAGTAAGCGACTGAATTCATGCTAACTTCAGATTACAAAAAGAATCCCGGGCTATGTGGACCTTGTTCCAGTTGTTCAAACGATGAATAGTGCTACCCCCCGGATATCCACTGGATAAAGATTTAAGAGGTGGATAGCGTTATCCAAGTTTTAAACAACTGTGGGCTGTTCGAAACCAAGGAAATGTTTGCAAGACTCGCTCGAACAAAACGCAATCTCAGCAGGCCATCCAAATACATTCGCTGCTGTTCTGTGCAACTCATTAAATTCCTAATGTGGGCCCATCTACATGTNCCCCCGGATATCCACTGGATAAAGATTTAAGAGGTGGATAGCGTTATCCAAGTTTTAAACAACTGTGGGCTGTTCGAAACCAAGGAAATGTTTGCAAGACTCGCTCGAACAAAACGCAATCTCAGCAGGCCATCCAAATACATTCGCTGCTGTTCTGTGCAACTCATTAAATTCCTAATGTGGGCCCATCTACATGTAAGACCCGGGATGTAAGACCAGAAAGAATACTAGAGGGAAGCTAAAGAGAAAAGAAGGCTAGAAGAGAAACTAGCATACAAGGACTACCATCCTGTAATGGGGTATACTCATTAAAAATGGGAAAGCTTAAGGTAGGATTTCTTGACCGCCTCTACCTTTAGGAACTAGCCGGCTTGGCCACTGTCGGTATAAAGCTGGACAAGATAAAGGTCATTCGCTGCCATTACTATCGACAGGAAACGAGAATGTCGAGACAATGAGTTGCTAAGCACTGAGAAAGAGAGCACTAAAGACTCAGATAGAGTCATCAGACGAGTGACGAGCATAGCGAATATATATGATCTTGTCATTGCTGATCTCGATGAACATGCAGTTGTTCGAATGCCATTTTCAGCTCATGGATGACTGACAACACCAATTGAAGAATGAAATTGTTAAAAGAAATTAAAACGTCGTTGGAAGAATAACCTGCGATCGGGTGCCCTTCTTCCCTTTTTGTTTGGCGGGAGACGAGGGGAAAAGCAACGCCTGATCGCAGGTTATTGAAAGAGCAGAGCGTGGCTCATTGTTATATGGACGAATTGGGTACATTTTTGCCCAGTAAGATGGAGTAGATGCGACTGACTGAAAATGAAATAGCTATCGCGTAATCGCGGCTTGAAGATGGGACCTCGTTCATTGTGAAGCTAATAAGCCAAAGAATCCTAGCTATGGAAAATGAATCTGGAATTATTAAAGGGACTGCAGGGAATGTTTTTGTTACTCGGTTTATTTGGACAAACCGACGAATCGACGATTTGTATTTGTATGTTGTAAAGTACTCACAAAAAAGAAAACCTTACGTTCTTATCACGTTAAACATTCTCGACATTTTTTTAATTCCTTTATTTTGGCAGTTTTGGCTGAAACTCCTGCCACATACATTTTGATGTAATGCAATGTATCTTCCACGGCTTTTACTGCTGATGATTACTTCCAATTCAATTAAACGGAAAAGTTATGACGAAAAGTTGGTCACGGCGCTAGCTCAATGCGCCTTTATTGATGACGGAGCCATCTTAAACAAGTTATATTAGATTATGCCAAAACAAAAAGAAAGTTATAACAACTTCTCGACCCCATAAACCGGGGTTTTCGACTTAAAATGAATATTTTCTTCTATTAAGTTGCATCATAGGTCGCATACTTATCCAATTCATCCAAGGGCAGGCTTACAGGAGCCTTTGATTACCTTTTGTTCAACTAAGCAAATAGCTGAAGTTACGGTACATTAGCACGCATTGAACGAAAAGACAACATAAAAAAAATCAAAACAAGAAAAAAAAAAAAACAGAATTCGAAAAGACGAAAACATTAGTCCAGGCTTCAGTTAAAAGGACGAACTAAAACAGTACATATTGAAATGGAAAAGCGAACAGGAAAAGTGGCATCGGAAATTAAAAATGGCCATTTCACCTTTTGAAAAAACGTTCATTTTCTTTTCGTATCTCATGGCTACAGATGTTCAAGACATCTGGCTTCTTCGGGTCCGGCCAAATATATCTGATAAAAACTCTTTTCTTTTCTACAATTTTGTCAAACACTGCTGAAGCTGTTGACTGAGTCTCATTTGTGAGTTTAAAAA